TGCACTACTGGGTATTTACCCCAAAGATACAAATGTAGGGATCTGAAGGGCTACGTGCACCCCGATGTTTATAGCGGCAATGTCCACAATAGGTAAACTGTGGAAAGAGCCAAGATGTCCATTGAGAGATGAATGGATAAAGAAGATGTGGTATATATATACAATGGAACATTACGCACCTATCAAAAGGAATGAGAGCTTGCCATTTGCAATGACGTGGATGGAACTGGAGGCTTTATGCTGAGCGAAATAAGTCAGAGAAAGACATGTATCATATGACCTCACTGATATGAGGAATTCTTAATCTCAGGAAACAAACTGAGGGTTGCTGGAGTGGTGGGGGGTGGGGGGGATTGGGTGGCTGGGTGATAGACATTGGGGAGGGTATGTGCTATGGTGAGCACTGTGAATTGTACAAGATTGATGAATCACGGATCTGTACTTCTGAAACAAATAATGCAATATACATTAAGAAAAAAAAACAGAAGAAGAAGATAGCAGGAGGGGAAGAATGAAGGGGGGAAATCGGAGGGGGAGACAAACTATGAGAGACTATGGACTCTGAGAAACAAACTGAGGGTTCTAGAGGGGAGGGCTGTGGGGGGATGGGTTAGCCTGGTGATGGGTATTAAGGAGGGCATGTTCTGTATGGAGCACCTGGTGTTATACACAAACAATGAATCATGGATCACTACATCAAAAACTAATGATGTTTAAGATAACTAAAAAAAAGAGCTCCAGGGGGAGGTAATAATAATAATAATAATAATAATTATAATAAAAATATTGGGAAGACTGTCTTGTTTTACAATCCATTTAATTAGAATATTATCTATATTAATAATCTTATAGCTTTTGGTTTTGTTTTACTACTTTACTATTTTTTTGTATTTATTATTTCTCTAAAATATTCTCCCTTTCATTTTCTTTGGGTTTCATTTTAGTATTCTTTTTAAAATATTTTTAGGTTAATTATTAACTCATTTATTTTTACCATTTTTCCCCCATAAGATAACCATTTGTGGCCACAAATTTTCCTCTAATCTTCTCTTTCAGTAAAGTTGTATAAATGCTCACATTAGGGATTTGATGTCTCATTTCCATATTCACCAAAAGAAAAGTTTTGCTTTGTGGATCTTCTAATGTATGTTCTGAATCAGCTTTTCCCCCCTCAGATTTACCATAATTCTTTTTCTTTACAATCTTATTTGTGTAATAGATGCTCCAAAACCTGGGGAAAAGCACAGAGACTGTCACCTTCTGTCCCTGCATCCCCTGCCCGCCAAGGGCTGGTTTCCCTTTCAGTCCCTCAGGGATCTCCCTTCTTCAGTCTAATGGGCTCTGCACTCCCTCTGTGCTCCGACAGTGTGACCCTCACATCTGGCTGCCTTCGCAACAATTCTGGTGACCTGACCCACTTCTCCCATCTCTTCTCACCTGTCACTACGAGCTCATTCGAGTCCTGTCATGAATGTCGCCCACTCAGAAGCCATTCCCTCCCGCCGCCCAGCCCTTCTTCGGACCCTAGTCCGTCCCACTCTCCGTGGGTAGGTAGGTTCCCTGACACCTTTGCTTTCTGTGAGGTCACGGAACTCACCATGGTCTGGCGCAGTGCCGCCATCTCCCCGCTGAGGAGCCAGCGAGGCAGAGGGACAGTTCCACGGAAGTTTGGGAGATTGTCGCGGCGCCGCAAAGATGCAGTTTGCGCGGCGGCTCAGCGGGCAGGGGTAAGAACTGCCCGGACGCCGCGGGGATTCCGCACTAACACCCGGGCCGTAGCCTGGGACCCGCAGGCCTCGGGGAGAAGTCTCGGCGTCTAGGGCGGGTGAGCAGCGGCAGGGGCGCCTCCGCTGTGGCCCAGGCGCCACCTCCCAAGGCACGGGAGATTTTCGCCCGGTGGGGCGGCCAGCGCCGGGACGCTCCCCCTCAGCCCAGCTGCTGCGAGGCGCGGGGCGGAGGCCGAATCACCTGGCGGGGCGCCGGGATTTGCCGAGCCGAGCGCGCCGGGCTTGCACCCAGCTCACCTCAGAGCAGGTCGCGTCGACGCGCAGGCCCCTCCCGGAAGGGGCGGTGGGGGTGGGCTGCCCGAGGCCCCGCCCCGGAGGCGGGAGCAGTCCGGGAGGGCGGGGCCCGGCCGGCCCCCGGGGTTCGCGCGCCAGGTTCCGACTCCTGTGTAGTGCGGTCAGACCTGCATGCGGTCTGGGCTGCCAGCGCCTCTCCAGCGCCCAGCGCCGCGGGAGAGCCGAGGTGAGACGCACCGTCCTGCACCTGGGACAGGCGGCGAGTGGACGTGGGGGGCGCGATTCATCCCACTTCTGCTGGCCTTTCCCCAGGGCTGAGTGCGCAGTCCTGCCCTTGACTGCCCTGTTCTTTCCTTCCCTCGGGCGCCAGCTTCCTTCATCTCGCCCCCCTACCCCTTTTTTCTCCTCGTTCCCCCCAGTCCCTGCCTTCTGCCTCTGTCTTTTGTCTTCTTGTCTCTGCCTGTTTCTCTCCGTCGTCTATCTCACTTTTTCTTGTCTGCCTCTTCTTCATTATCTTTTTTCCCTGCCCTACCCCTTCTCTTTTTCCTTCTCTGTCTCTCTTGGTCTTTCCGTTCGCCCCACCCCCCACCCCCCGCCCCAGGAATTCTGCCTTTTGATTTTTTTTTCTCTCTCCTAGGATGACTCTCATTCTTCCATCTATCCATCCACCCATCCTCTCTCATCCTGTGTTGCTCTGTTATACTCAGCCAGAGCTTGTGCTCGGCACTAGGGTAATAATGGTGCATCTATCCCAGATCCTTTCTCCAAAAGATTACATCCAAAGATTTGGGCATTCAAGTGCCTGTTTTGGGAAAAATACATAAGTGATCTAGTTATAAATATCTGAGATTTAGGGTGAGCTGGAAGAAAATACTTGGTTTTAGAGCCAAGGCATTGATTGAGTCGTTTTCTTGACATTTGCCTGTAGTAACAGGCACAGACAGCACACCACGAAGCTAAATCCTGCAGAAACATTGAGGGGACGCTGGGGCCCACACCATCCTTCCTTGGAAATAGTGTAAGGCCAGGTTGATAGGGAGGGAAGGGGTGGAATTCATAGCTTACTTGTGGGAAGACAATAGAGAGGTCAGGGCTTTTCATGTGAAACCATTAAGTGAGAGTTAAAATATGAAATTAACTGTGTATTTCTAAAATAGATACTTGTCAGTGCTGCTGATGTGCAGAATTTAAGTTCCATAATTATGCTGAATCAGACAGGCATTTTATAGCAATTATTGTGGCATTTAAGATTAATGTTTTTGTGTACATTAGGTAGGACCACAGTTGAAAATACCCTCATCTTAGTATCAAGGATTGTCTTAGACACATATTAAGTGAAGAAATCTAGAAAAACAAATCCGATTAATTTGGGGGAAATAAAGTAGAAGTATTGTATATTAAAGCATTTGCTTCTTGTTAAAAATGTGATTTTGCCAGTGAGACGTGATTTCATTGCTTTATGATATTTTTATGACATATAGCTGTATGTTCAAACACACATACACACACACCATATATATATATAAACTTGTTTGTTTTTAAAGCTATTAATTACCACCTAACACAGAAGTTTTTTTTAATCAAGAATTTAACCTTTTGGTTTATTATGATTTTTAATGATATTTCAGTTCATTTGACTTTTCAGTTGTTATGGGAAAGGAAATGTGATATTACATAAATCACACAAACAAAAATGAAATATGACCAAAGAGGATTGCAGTGTGTTTATTGAAAGAATTTTTTCATTTTAAATCAAAGAATGTTGGACAAATTCTTAAGTATATGCATGGAACTTTGATTCGGGAGGTTGTTTTCTGCATTTAAGATTCAAATTGACTTTTAAATCATTGTACCGCTGACTTCCAATGTATCAGAACTCTGGAGGGGTGGGATGAAAGGGATGCTTTGCAAATGATTTAAAACCATCATGTCTGCTTTGCTTAGCAGATTTCTTTTTCAGAAACCCAAGAAGTGACAACTTTTCTTTAAAACAGATAATCACAATAAAAAGATTTTTTCAAGGTTTTGTGTTGAGCTGCAATGCTTTTTAAATTTCCTTTCCTTCTTTGAGTAGGCTGTATCTCTCCTTTCTAGTAGATAATGATGCTATTATTGGCGTCAGGTAGAGTCTGGCTGAGCAGTTTGATATACAAGCCACGGACTTTCCCCGGAAGGCCGCCACTGGGCTTGGTCTACATGGCCAAGTTGTGTTAGGACTCCAGCCAACTGGACCTGGTGTCTGTCTGCATTCTGGGAATCCTGCATTTGGTTTTGCTTGAACACAGGAGGCATTGCTGCTGAAGGGGTATAGGCGGACATAGAGCCTGTGGGGATTGGCTAGGAAGACCTCTTCTCTCCCAGCTCCGTGGCATCACCAACCAGCCTCCAGGAAAGCCTGGATAGCTCTCCAGTTTTAATTTTCTCAGGGTTCCAGAGCTAGGAGGATGCATGTGTATTTCCTGTTCAGGAAAACCCAGGATGTCACAATCCATATGTAGAAGAGGTGGATAGATAATTATCCTCTGGAACCTTCCAGAATGGTCTGAGAAGCATCTCCAAAGTCTAGGGAAACCAAACGATTAGAGCAGAGGAGATATTATCTGCTCTTGTTTGTTTTAGCTAAAGAGGAAGGCAGACACAGGAGACACTAGTTGGTGGGATACATGGTATCACTGAATAAGATCCAGTTTCTGAGTGAGATGCAGCTTGGATAGGCTGGAGGCTGGCCAGCTGACAAGAGGTTGGAGAATACCTTCAGATACCCCAGGAAAAAGAGGTCCCCCGGTTGTTGACTAAAGTTCTTTCTTCTGTGAATGAAGGGAGAAGGAGGAAAACAGGCAGGCCATTTGGTCACTCATTACATACTACTGTGCACGGGTTCCTGGGAGCACATGAGTAGAGGAAAGTGAGCCAGGAGGTTGACTCTTACCCTTTGCACTAGTGTGATAATAATGAATAAATTAATGCTACCTAACATTTATTGAGCCCGGCTCTTTAACACTTCAGATACCTTAATCTGTCTAATCTTTACCAACCACTGGATGAAGTAGGCATCAAGGTGATCCTTTTTTTTAGAAAGGGTCCTTTTTTGGGTGAGGAAATAGGCAGAGAGAGGATCAACACCTGGCCTGTGGTCACAGGATTGGTAAGAGCAGAGTTGGGTTTGGTCGAGGCATCTGATGTGAGAGCCCATGTACTTATCCTCTATGTGATACACGGCTTGATGATAACATGAGATGGCCTGGTCATAGCATGAACAGAATGTGGCCAGGTGAAAGAATGATCAGAGTCTGCACTCGGTGCCCTGGAAATGGGTAATAAACAAAGACACATGTGCTTGTAACACTGTGAAGTGAGTAAGGCTTCATTTCCAAGATTGTAGCCCTTCTTGTGTTCGTTGGAGGAATCCTCACTGGTGGCCCAGCAAGGTTGAGAGCCTGAGGGAGAAGTATCCTAAATGATAGGGAAAGATGGATGTGGTCAGACACCATGTAAACTTGGGGAGCACAGATTCAGAAGGTCTCAAAGATCACTTATAATCCCATGATCTAAGGGCTCAGAAATGTTGGAGAGTCTGGGATTGAAATCAGGTCCTTTAAATAGGAAGACCATGGGGTGTTACTGAAAGATGTCTGTGTGGCTCAGGGGGTTTCTTGCTAAGCTCAGACTGAAAAGATCCAAGGAGGATAAGAGAACCCTTATCAGGACACACACAACAGAGTGATGAGGATGAGTAGATCGTGTCAGGGGGTGAGAGCTCAGAATGAATTGAGGCTATTGAGGAGAGTGGAGGGACAGCAAAGAGTCCCTTAACATTGCATGGGAGCAAGGAGAACAAGGGCTGCATAGATTCACCGGAATGTCTGGCAGAGAACCATCCTCCAATTGCAAAGGGCATTAGTCGGTCCACATAGGAAGAAGGAGCGAGGCACCACCGAGCAGCTGTGCATGTAGTCTCCTGACCCAGAACTCACTAGCCAGGACATGATGTGACCCCAGAGATGACATCATGCATCTGCACAGATCATCTGAGAGATGGATCACAGGAGAGGTGCATGAAGCCTGGAGCTCAGTGAGACCCAGAGTTTGATGTTGACCCTGGGAAAGGGCCTGTGAGTCATTTGACAGGAAGAGATGGGCATCAGGAGCTGGCACAGGCTCACTTGGGACAGGCCACGTCAGACACACATCATTTTCCTCTTTGAGAGGCTTCCATCTGGCAATGTCACAGACAGAGTGGACTGGTTAGATGGAGCCCCAGAGAGAGTGTTGTAGGACATTATTTGCACTTGCCTGAGTGACCTTAGCCCAGCAGTGCTGATGCATGGGAGAGAGGTGAGCCTCAGGGAGCTTGGTCATACCAAAGGTCCCCAGTCAGTTCAGTACCCTCATCACCTTCTTTTCTTCTCTTTCTCAATATTATTATTATTATTATTATTATTTTATCTCCCTTTCTTTCTCCTCCTTCTGTTGGTCCCGTTATTATTATTAAGATTTGAATAATAAAATTGATGAAACATGGAGTTGGATGGGTATCTAATATAGTGATTGGCAGAATTCAGACCCACAGTGGTCTCAAGAAGCTGGAAGGCAGCGCTGCATTTAGCAATGTGGCATTTGGCAGGTTGGAAATGAATGCCCTTGGGTTGAATCGTGCAGCTTCCCTCGTGTGGTTACTGTGAAAATTCCACACAATAAGGCATATGACGCCTCTGGCATCTCTGGCATGTGTTCACCTACATACTCTATAAACGGTCACTTCTATGTTTACGTGATGAAGCATCCCTGGTAGTAAAGATTTCATCCTGCAGTAAGATCCCATGTTCCCGATTTGAATGCTCAAAACAGAGTTGTCACATCTGTGGCTCAGGGCACTCTGGACATTTCTGATGACTGGGTCTACATGGCTGTGGTTGGCAGAGGTTGCCCGAGCTGAGAAGACAGCCCAGTGGGCCTGTCTGCAGAGGGGTGCAGGGTGCAGCAGGGCCCGGAGGACAGTAGCATGGGCGCCTGCCCAGGCTTGGGAAAGACATCCTATGGTTCTAAATTGTCATCTGGAGGGCCGCCTGAGGCAGAGCTGGGGGGGAGAAAGCAATGGACTGGGGGGAAATCTGTGTGTGTGTGTGTGTGTGTGTGTATTTAAGTGTGAGTGTATGTGTGTGTATGAGTGTGTATATGTGAGTATATGTATGTGTGTCTATGTGTTTGTTTCTGTGAGTGTATGTGTATTTGAGTGGGTGAGCAAAGATGTGTGTGTGTGTGCGTGTGAGTCTGGTTCAGCCAGTGCTGCTCACCAGCTGGGGGAGAGTGGGCGGGGGGAGGCCTGAAGATGGGTGTCCTAGCTTCAAGAACTGGCTGGTGGAGTTGATTAGGGAAGGGCAGGGAGGAAAGCCTCCCCAGCAGGGCTGATGGCACTCTCTCCTCCTCAGTGCCACCTCACATATGGCCGTGAGTGTCTTTCCTCCAAGCCTTGAGCACCTCCAGGGCAAAGTGGAGGCTGGTCTACCTGAGTAGGTCTGGCAGGTTGGCACAAGAGGACAGTTGACAGGTGAGCAGAGAAGGAAATGGATTAATGTCTGAGGAGAACCAAGTGTGGGCACTCTGGTGAGTGGATGCGGGGCAGACCCACGCTTGCTCCAGGGGCAGGGCCAGGTGGAGAAGAGGGGGCTGCCCCCCACTCCTGGGAGCGGGGCCCAGACCCACCCTGGCATACCTGGGCATTTTATTGTCCAGCCTTTACCCTCTGGCCACCTGTGCTGCAGGAGCTCTACTCCCAGGTGCTCAGTGTCCTGTCATGTCTGATTCTGTGGAAGAAAAATGGACACACTGAGCAGCAAGACTACTCTAAACAATGAAAACTTTCATAAGTCAGGGTGCGAACACGTTAGATTTGTCAACTGGGTTGGAACGGCCTGGTGGACACATCGTGTGCTATGGGAACACAGCAGCTGCTGCCTGGATGCTGGCAGGTGCAGGGGCAGTGCTGAGCCTCGCCCTTGGGTGGCAGGGTCACGTGGCATGGTCCTTCCTCCCGGATGGAGTCCTGGAGGTGAAAGCAGGTGGCACAGTGCTCCGAGTCAGGGTGAGCTGCTGCATCCGTAGTAGTCAGGCTTCTTTGGATGCACACAGCAAAGATGAGGAGCGCATGTCTCACTGCTGTTGCTTCCTCTCTGTGCAGTGTCCTGTGGTCCAAGTGTGCTGCCGCAGCCAACGGGGGAGCGCTCCAGTCTCACGGCTCCTCCCTGGGTCAAGCCCTCTGGAACACCAAAGCCCCTGAAGACTGACAGCTGTTGGAGCATCCACCTTGGCAGCTGGCTCACACCCTGCTGGTTAGCATGGCTGCTGGGAAGGGTGCTGTGCGGAGCTCTTCAGCTGAAAACAGTTGGCGGCTTAGTGAAGCCGACCATGGCAGGGGTTGCAAGCCAGTGCTGCTGGAGAAAACCAACCACCTGGGCTCTGAGGCTGCCACAGGTGGTGGGGGCCAGCATGAGGCCTGTGCTGAGCTGGTGCTGTCAGCAACCCCAGGCAAACTCAGACTGGGAAAGGCAATGGCCCAGAAGGTGTGCTGGGAACAGGGGCAGAGTGCCTTCACGGAGGTGCCTCGGCTCAAGAAGAGGCTGGAGGGTGCACAGGCCAAGGAGAGGGAGCATGGTAACCCCACAGGCCAGCCTGTCCCCCAGCAGCTGACACAGGAGATCCCCAGGGATCCAGCTGGCAGCAAGGTCTTCTCTTGGCCCAGCGGAGCCCAAGGGGAACCGAGAAGCGCCTTCAGCAAACCAGCCAGGTGTCCAACAGGGAGACCTGGGCCAACCTCTGTCTTCCAGGCAGAGGGACATGCAGATGCCCTTGGGGAGCTGTTGGGACTCATCAACACGGTAGATGTCCCTTGTTGGGGTCAACTTTCAAATTCTAAGTTTTTGGTGGGTGATTTCTGGAACCTGCAAATGTTGCCACAAAATGTTCCCATCTGCAGTGCTTTCATGGGTGCCCCCACACTGTGGCTAAAGCCTGCCACTGGCCAGATACCCGTACCTTCATCATCCTCCTCTCCTGCCTCCTGGGCTCTGCTGCAACCCACGTTCACCTCCCTGGGCCTGTCCACCCAGAACTGGTGTGCAAAGTGCAACCTGTCCTTTCGCCTGACCTCCGACCTGGTCTTCCACATGCGGTCCCACCACAAAAAGGAGCATGCAGGTCGTGACCTACATTCTAAGAAGCTGAGGGAAGAGGCCCTCACATGTCCCATTTGCCATGAATACTTCCGGGAGCGCCACCATCTGTCTCGGCACATGACTTCTCACAGTTAGCCGGTGACCGTGGAGCAAACCTGTAGGGGCAGCTTCTAAGATCTGGCAATGAGCCGGAGATGGCTCGCTGGTGTTTCCTTTGAAAAAGCTGGTCAGAGTTGTCTGCAGGGCTGTCTGCATTGGAGTTCATACACGATCACCTTGGTCATCATTTGAAAAAGAGAGCCCTCAGCTGTGATGTGTTTTGATGGAAATAAAGTCATGCAATAAAATGATATGCTTTGTTAACCTAGGGCATTGGGACTATGAGGCATGAAGTGGAGGCGCTGCTCCTGTCACCATTCTGTTTGTTCCTTGTGGAGACAAGTTTGGCACACAGCATGAGCTTTGGAGGCAAACAAACCTGGATTCAAATCTTTCACATATTAGCCCTGACCTTGGACACATTGCTTTAATCGTCTGAGCCCCAGTGTTCTTATCTGTAAATGGGGAAGGTGACACTTGTGTCTTAGGGATGTTGTCAGGCTTACGTGGGAAGGTGTGTGGAAAATAGCCAGCATAACACTTGGCACAGTGTGATCACTGAGTAAATGATATTATTGTCCAGATCAGTCAGGTGTTGTTAAATAACAAAATCTCAGTGGCAGACAACTCAAAGCATCTATTTCTCACTCGAGGGTCTATGGATTGGCTGGGTTGAGTTGGTCTTGGCTGGGCTTGGCTCCGATCATAAACTATCTTTAAGTTCATCTTTTACTCTAGGACTGATGGGCTTCCCAGATAATACTTCTCTCATGTTTATGCCAAGAGCCCAAGAAGGAAAATCCAAATACACAAGCAAACCTCAGGTTTCTGCTTGAGTCACTTTTTCTTTTCTTTTCTTTTCTTTTCTTTTTTTTTTGAGAGAGAGAGAGAGTGCGAGAGTGTGGGGGGAGGGGCAGAGAGAGAGAATCTTGAGCAGGTTCCATGCTCGGCGTGGAGCCCGACATGGGGCTTGATCTCAAGATCCTGAGATCATGACCTGAGCTGATACCAAGAGTCAGATGCTTAACCGAATGAGCTATCCAGGCGTCCCTTGGGTCAATTCTACTAACATCCTCTCAGCCAAAGCAAGTCAATGGCCAAGCCCAAAGTAAATGGGTGATATGTGCATGCTGCCCACAGTGAAGCCATGATGAGGGAGCGAATGTGAAATCCTACTGCAGGGGCATGAGAATTGGGACCAATAATTCAACCAACACTCTTCTTCACATTCTGAATTCATGAAAGGGGGCAAAAGGAACAACACACCCACCGACCCACACACCCCTTAGCTCTCAGGAGGTGATCGTGTACAACGGCTTAGGCTTAAAACACTGTGAGAATTAAGAGAGTTCTGGCTACCAATATCTACTGCATGTTGTGTTTCTCTCAGTAACTGTTCTGTCTATCTGCATTTGTCCTTGCAAACCTCAGGTCATAAACTCTGATATAACTCAGGCCAGTTTGTGTGAAGGCCATCAGCTGGGAGTTCTTTCGAGTCAGTGAGTTCTTTTGACTGGTTTCCACTTCCCTTTCGGGACATATTCATTTGATCTGCAATTTGCAACCCTCTGGTGGGGCCTCTGGCACAGAGCTCAGGCTGTGGTTGGGAAGGAGCTGGTGGGGGTGTTCAGACAGCGGCCAGTGAGCCATCCAAACAGCCCCCAAACTCGACCTCTTCTCTCCCTCTCCATGTGCCAACCTGGTGCAGGCAGCAGCAGGTCCCACCTGGCCCACCCTACCCCCATCCCCCTGATTCACCCTCCCCTCATCTTCCACCCACACACCCATCCATTCTCCACCCATAGCCAGCCATTTATTCACTCATTTATTAACCTCCCCAGGCACCCTGCTGTGTCAGGCTTGGTGCCAGGCCCTGGGGGGAGGCCCCTGAATTCTGCCCATGGTCCTTGTTCAGGGTATGCAGCCTAGCGTACAGTGTGACAGTTGCCAAACAGAGGCCTGTGTGGGGCACCGGGCACATGGGAACAGGCCCACATCAGACCTGTGGGAGGGGAGGACAGTGCTCCCAGAGGCCTCCTGAGGAGTGGGGAGAAGAGCAGATCATCAAAGTCCAGCAGGTGCTGGAGGTTCAGATGGAGGGCCGTGGCTGGGGAGGAGGGGCCCAGAGCTACAGTGCTGTAGGATGCTACAAGGCCTGTGTGAGAACCGAGTGAGATGGTGGCCCTCTGAGATGGAGATGGAGGAAGGCTTCCAAGGACAAGAGTCTGGCCCAGGACACAGGAAGGCTGGGTCTGAGAGGCACTTTGAGGAATCCTCTGGCTGCAGAGGGCAGGGTGGGCTGGAGGAGAGGAGAGGACCCCCTGAAGGAGCCTCTGCATCTGGAAGGAGCCAGCAGTGCTCGCTGCAGGCACCAACAGAGCACCTCCATTCTTGCAGGGAGGTTTGGAAGCCCCCTCCCTGAGAGAGACATGGGACGCTTTGTAGGATGGTCCCTTTCCCCACAGAAGGGGGCTGAAGCTTCGAGGAGCCTCCTTCCCCTGCCATCCCACGTGGGTAAGGAAAGGGTGCTCCCTGGAGTGTGAACCTGAAGCTCCACGTGATGCACTGACGTACATCGTTGAATCTGCCTGACGTGCACAGGAGGTAGATCTTTAATTCCCATGTTACTGCAGAAGAAACTAAGCTCCAAGAGGTTAAGCGTCTTTTCTAAGATCATAGGTTTAGGAGAAATGGTGCAAGAATAAGGTCCCAGGACCACCCAACTGTGAGCTCACATCCTTCCCAGCGTGCCATGCATTTGCTCAGCATGTGGTTACATGGCATCATGGATGGTTTAAAAATAGGATCTAGGGTCAGGCACTGACCCCTTCTAAAATTGCGCCTTGCATCCTGCATACACTCCCACATTTCCTATCACCCTTTCCTTGAACACTTTTCTATTATCTTGTATGCTACACCAGTTTACTGATTTGTCTTATTTACTGTGTCTCTCCCATTACTGGAGCATAAGCTCCACGAGGGATTTTTGGTTTTGTTCACTGCTGTATCCCCAGCAGGAAGAACAATGCAGGAATGTAGTAGATGTTCAACAGACATTTGTTGAATGAATGAATGAATGAATGAGATGCCTGGTTCCAGTCTCACCCCTGACAAACCCTGAATCAGCTGCTCATAAGTGTTTTGACATCTATCAGATGGTGTGCACAGCTGTCCTCTTCTGGCTTATTGGATTGGTCCATATTTCTGTGAAATCACTTTGAAAGGCACAAGTGCACTATACTAAGAATTGAAATTTGGAATGGAAGGGGACTCTAGAGTTCTCCTGCATCCTCTCACTTTATGGTGATGAGCACTGAGGTCCACTGATGATCAGACCTGCAAAGTGATGCAGGGCAAGTGGCGGTGAGGTCAAGGCCAGGACCCCTGAAATGTCAGCCTGGGCATCTTCCCTGACCTGCCCACACGCCTCTAAGACCATTGGCTGTAGCCACACGCAGAATTACTACTAGCAGTGACCCCATCATTTTCAAGCAAGGGAGACATTTTGAAAAATATTAAAGCTAACCAAATAAAAGTTATGAAGAAGTGTAATGGAACGTCTTTCCCCAACTTTTTATTTTAATAGAAACTAATGGACATGCAAGTTGCTTTGCAGCCATTGAAATTGACAAACTCCAAGATGACTTATGGAAATGATGACTTACAGTTTATGAACGCGGCAGCTCCTACTTGTCACCAGGCTGGGTTCCCAAAGTCCCCTTGGGGGTCAAATCCTGCCTCATCCTTTCTTCTCTCCTGCCCTTCCAGAGTAGTCACTCTGAATCATGACTTTGCCCAATCTCCGTCTGCCACCTTCCATGCTAGTTAAGAGTTGGCTGGTGATGTCACCACAAAACATCAATCACATCAGCAGGTGAGAATTTTCCTCTTTAAGTCTGGGGTAAGAATGATCACATTCCTTAAATTCTCTATATCTAATTTAATCTACTCTGCACCCCGATCCTGTGGTTCTGGTAAGATATGCAGTCTGTCATTTTCAAATTCCTCCCCTGTCTTTCAAATTCACAGAAAGTTCCCCCAATGTGCCCCGCCTATGAAGGTAGCCTCCCTGAGAGTCACTCGGTCTCCCCATGGGGCACTGGTGTCTTTGTCTCTGTCCTGCAATGTGTTCAGTCTCCTCCCCTCTTCCAGGTCTTGGGCCTTGGTGCTTTGCTGGCCACGTTGTCATTACAGATGTCACACAGAAACCACCGAGTCAATGAACAGAAAGGCTTGGCTAATTTCTTGGACTAGGCGAGGGAAAATCCCTTCTGGTGGCTGGGACAATGGCAATGTCTATCTTAATCTCCCAAGCAGCAGCCATTCAATTAAGATTTATAAGAGTCCCCAAAATGTGCTAATGAGGCTGAAATAAGACATTTTGAATTCAGGTCCATTTTAGTTCTCAATTATAACCAAAATCTTCTCCCCCCTCCCCCGCCACCCACTTTTATCTGGAGAAGTAAAACCCTAACAAGGCCAGGATCCTGGATTTCAGCTTCTGGCCAGTTCCTAAATCCTACACCGTAAAAACAGGGCATCCTACTCAAACGACTCTATAATTAGATTAGTGAACGTGAGTGAAGTCCACTGGGCTTAGGGACAGGGAGAAGAGGAGGGAGGGTGGGTCTGACACCTAGAATTCCTGCGTCCTGGGTGAAGGAAGTCTCTTTAGTGCCAGGCTGAATGCAGGCCTCAAGAGAGGCTAGAAATTCTCCATGGGGAAAAGCTGAGAGCTTTTCCCCTAAGGTCAGGAACGCGGCAGGGATGTCCACTATCACCACTGCTATTCAACATAGTATAAAAAAAAAAGAAACTGTAAAAAAAAAAAAAAAAGAGAGAGAGAGGCCAGGAATCAGTACTGTATGTGAAATTAGTGATTCAGTTGGTTTTTAAAAGCTGATGGCCAGAATAGCATGGACTTAAAGAAGCACATTAGTGGTGATGGTGATGGGGAGGGGGAGGAGCGACCCGCTGGAGACCCCTGAATCTATTATGTATCCAGACTTGGAAGAGGCTGGGTGCTGGGCCCAGCCCTGCTAACCTCACACAAACCGCCCTATTCTTCTGGGCACAAGAAGAGAACCTCCCACAGAGGGCTGAACCTCACCAGTTGTTCCAAGGTGAAGGGTGCATCCTCCTTTTCCTTGAAAGGTGCTGGCGCCCCCTGGAGGCAGCGGGCCTCCCCTGCAGGCCACTTCTCTTGAGAGAAGGTTTTATATACCCTGGTTAATTGCATAATTTTGTTTTTGTTTTTGTAGTAGAAGTCATGAGAGAGGACTAAAAATCATATAGTAAGAGATGAATCCCATAGGAAAAAAATGTTTTATTTTTTAAAATAAATTATGCTCCCCAGGGTAGCATTTTGATTTGCGCCATTTCCTAGGAGAGAATTTTCAGAAGCCTATTTTGAATGGGGGTTGGGGAGGCAGTACATTCTGGGAGGAGGGTTGGGGTTCCTTAAATTTAACATTTTCTTCCCTGGCTGTCTTGTGTTTTCCTGGGGCAGGAGACAGGAAGTCAGTGGCCTCTGATACCCTTGCTATTCTAAGCCGCTTGCATTAGCAAGCTATTTTCACTGACAGCTACCCTCACCAGCAAGGAGGCAAGGAGGTCCTCAGGTCAGATGGCCGCTAATCCTATAGGACCCAGGAGGTGTGAGACGGGTGCCCTCCAGTGGGAATCTCCTTAGGCAGGCTTCTTTGCCCACAAGTGTGATTTGGGTTGCATTCTTTTTTTCTGAGCCTTGTTCTCTCATTGCATTCAAGCTGTGTGGATAACCAAGGCCCTCACTGACAGGCAAACATGCAAACACGGCTGCGTGTTGGGCTGTGTGGGCAAGCAGGAGGGTGAGATGGAAGGAGAGCTGGGGTCTTCCCCTCTGATGCTCCATTGTGGTCCCTGGCTCCTGCTGGACCGGGGACTTTGGACAAGTCTCCAGCAAGGATCCTGATGGTGAAGGTCCAGGCTGTCTGTGGGCTGGGATTACCTTGGGAGATGGGGAGGATAGGCTGGCCCCAGCACCTCTCACTACAGGTCAGTGGGTGCCTTGGGGGCAGTGGGCCTCAAGCAGGGGGAGACCTGAGAAGTTGCATGGCAGAGCAGTGGCCCTGACTCCAGGCTGGGCCACAGAAATGGGGGTAGGACTCTGTGGTGGGGATTTAAGAACCAAGCCAGGACCCCAAAATAAGGGAGGGGGAATGGCAGGTGGGCCCAGAGCAGAGTGCAATTAACTCAGACAACTCATTATCCTGGTGATTGTGTGGACACAGTGGGGTGGGGGTAGAGAGGAGGGATTTTGGGTTAGCTCTCAGATCTCTGCCCTAATTTCAGGAGGGAGGTGTGGCTTTGCACAAGATGGGGTCTTGGGGACAGGAGCAGGCCTTGGCCAGGCAAGGTGAGAGAAGGTAGAGGTGATGAGCTCATACTGGGACATCAAGAGCTCAAGGGGTCTGTAGTCTGTTGGAGCAGAGGCTCCTAGGCAGCTGTGGGTCACCTGGCTCTGCCACCGGAAGAGAGACCTGGTGGGATTTTGTTTTCCTTTTCCTTTTTCTCCAGTCTTCTGTCTCCAAGCAGGTAACAATGCAAGAAAACCACCTCAGAAACACTGACCCTTTCTCTTTGGTCTGAACAGGACCCTTTTGGTCTACTTCTCCCACTTCAGGCCCTCTTCCCAGGGCCTCTTCATGATGTGGTAGAAACAGCAGGGTCTTTGGAGCCAGACAGATATGGGTTCAAAGCTCACCTGTCCCCTAGCCCAGCTGCACCAGACAGTGCAGTTTGTTGTAAAAAAAAAAAAAAAAAAAAGTCTGTGGTTGATGGAAGCAGAAAAGGATGACTTGAGAGGAGCCTGGCCTGCACCCAGCGTTGGATAGGCAGGCTGAGGGCTCAGGGTGGACAGTGGGCAGGAAAAACGAGATACTCAGCAGGACCTCAGCCATGGTCAGGCAGGGGGACCGGCTCTGGAGGACATTGCTGCCACCACTGCTGAGTGGGGTCATGACTCCACGGCCCTGCACACTAGGCATCTGACCACTGCTGCTGCCCAGCTCCCACTTGCTTAAACATTTAACTTGCTTAAACAGATGAAATATTCTGCATAGGAACCTCTGATTGGCCCGGGAAGGACATCGTGCCCATACCCTGGTGACCAGGGTGCTGGGAAAGTGAACTTCTGGTGTGTCCAGCTTGATGGCGGGGGAAACGGTGTCGGATGACATTGGCTGGATACTGGATTAGCTCATTGCGTCTTCATAGCCCTGAAAGTGCTATTATGTCTCTCATTGTCCAGATGAGAAAACCAAGGCCCAGAGAGGTGAAGCAACTTGCCCAGGGTTGTGCAGCTGGGAAGTGGCTGGCCTGGCCTTTCCCCCGGGACAGGTTCAAGACGGAACCTGGGCTCCCAAACACCTCACTGCTCTTAGTGAGTCTGTTTCCCACAGGTTCATATGGGGAGTGCTTCTCCGAACACTCAAAGGGGGTGCAAATGTTGGGTGGCCTAAAGGAGGACACGTGTCCATTGTGCTACCTGTATGACTTCCTGTGAATTTGTGAGCTTAACTGAGTGTCAGCTGACTCCTGCGGAAATGGTAAGAATGGTTGTCCAGTGTTCGTCGCGGCAGCACATCCACACAAATCACAGTGATACAGAGATTATCATGGCCCCTGCGCAAGGATGACACACAAATTCGTGATGTGTTCCATTAAAAAAAAATTGTTGTCCATGCACTGTGAGGCTCAGAAGAGAACTATGTATGTCATCCACCCTAAGAGCTGCCCCACCCCTTCCCCTATTTAAGACCCATGGAGATCTGTGCCGTCGGTAGACCCCCAGCACCTAGCCTGACACCTTAAACAAAATCAACTGTCAATAAATGTCAGTTGTGTAAATCAAGGAAATCCAAATGATATCAAAGGAAAACCCTTGGAAAAAAATAAGCAGTCACTAGTGATCACTAAGGTATGGTTAGTGACTCAAGATATAATTTGTTTTATTTATTTCATTTTTGGAATAATGACTGCTGCATTTGAAAATTATGATCTATGCTTATTATAAGGATTTAAGAAAAAAAGAAAAGTATAAAGAGAAAAAAATGTTAAAATATGACCCCTGATTCTACCACCTAGAGGAACCATTGTTTGATTTAGGTGATCATCAGATAGCTGTGTGTGGGGAAGGGGGGGAAGGAAGAGGGAGGAGAGAGAACCTCTAGAATGTAAGCATGTAGGGGCGTCACACATCTGCCCCGATGTTAATAGGTCTAATGAAGAAAAGGGTGAGATCCCAGTATCTGTGCTACTGCTAACATTCAATCGTCCACTTAATCTTAGTTGAATTTAGCAGAAGGAAGAGGAACTGGAATGCTTTCTATCAGAGCTTTCCTATTTAGACAGGGTTGGTTCAAGGTTTTCCAGGTGGCGAAATCCCTAGATATTGCTGGTGACCCAGGGTATGCTTAGTCTCCACAACTCTCTGGGACCTGGGGAGGGGGCTGGTGAAGTCAGGGTTGTGTAGTGAAGTCGGCCCGGTGCCCTGCGGGATGTCGCCTGTGGCAGCTCCAGGCTGGACTCCCCAGACATCAAGGCCAGATGGCACCAGGACTTCATCTTCACTCTTGGAGCCCGGGCTCTGAGAGCACTAACTGGGGGCTGTGGATGTCTCCACTATTCCAGCTTCATCCCCACCATGACTTTGGGCAGGGGCCTGGAAGTCTCTCACTTTAGGGTCCCTGGTGATTTCCAGCAGAGTAAGTTTGCGTGGCTCCCAGGGCCAGCCAGGGGCCTCATTCCTCCAAGTCACCCCCGAGCTCCCCAACTCCTCCTAGGGCTTGCTCAGTTCTGGAGGAGGTCTTGGGGTCTGCCAGCTTCTCACCCTATTAGGATTGGGCTTGGTCGCCGGAGCCAGCACAGTGATAGGCTGCACTAAGCCAAGAGGAGCAGGCACCCAGGCCACCATCCAGGGCCACTCTCCCCTCAAGTTGCAACTCTGCATGTCCAAATGCTGCATGGCACTAGAGCCCCCTTTTGGGTCCCTGACAGAAGCTGGAGAACAAGGCCAAGGGAGGAACATAGGAAGGGAAGGCAGACTTGTCATATAGAATTGGACTGGGAGGATTCCAAGTGAAACTGGACCTGTCTTCAAGGTCCAGAAGACGTAGAAGAAAACAGACTTGCTGCCAGTTACTCATGTGTGTTCCTTGGGCACCAGGTGCTGTGCTAAGTGGCGGGCAGTAGGAGACCAGGGTGAGTAGGATGGCTGTTGCTCCCGAGAAGCATGATGGGAACAGGAACAATCCCAGGGCAGGAGGGAGAGGTGCTTTAACGGGGAAGGTGCAGATGCAGGGAGGGCAGAGCGGGGACAATGTGCTGGGGAATTGGGGTGCCTGGCCTCTGGGCCTGCACTGTCCCACATGGGATCCACCAGCTGCAGGTGGCCACGAGCATGGGATGTGTGTGTGAGAAAGGGGATGCACTGTAAGTGCAGACTACATACCAGATTTCAAAGGCTCCCTGCAAAAACATCTCATTCATAATAATTTTTATACTGCTGAAATGATACTACTGTGGATATAGTTGGTTAAATAAATTACACTGTGAAAATAAATATTACCTGTTTCTTTTTACTACTAGAAGATGTCGAGTGGCGCATATGCTGGTATCTGCGGCTCGTGTTGTAACTCTATTGGATAGAGCTGCTCTTGGACCAGGGGTCGGCAATTAAGAAGCATGGGCGGGGGTGCCTCTGGACTTCACCTCCCCAAAAACCTACTATGGATGGGTTGCCTCTGAGGGGTGAGCTCCCTGTCCCTAGATGTTCAAACAGAGATGTTGGCTGTGGTGAAGAGACCATTGGATGAACTCCAAGGGTACCACCAACTCTAACTCTACCGGAGCTCAGCAAGCCCCTCTGCTGCCCCTTGGGGCCTCAGGCAGGACCACGTGCTGGAGTGCCCTTTGCATGTGGCCTGGAGTTCCCACCCATCCCGGGGCTCCTTCTCGCCCTCAGCAGAGTGTGCTGGAGCATCTCTTTGGCTCTGGCGAGGGCTGCCTCAGCAGAGACAGCCACATGGGGCATCACACCCACCCCTTCCCAGGAGCTGCCATCCGCAGCCCCCACTGAACGGGCCGTGGGGATGGTGATGTAGAGATGGGTGCCATCTACGTGATAGGTTTGCGGTGGCTGGCAGCCCCCACTGGTCACCTCCCCGATGACCAGTGCCCGGCCCAGCCTCTTCATGATGTAGGTAAATTCCTCCGCGGCACCGGCCGTCAGGGCGCTGGTCAGAATGGCCACATTTTTCTTGGAGCCATAGCGTTCACCTGGAAAATAGAAGGTCCTTCAAGATGGCGAGTCCAGCCCCCACCCGGGACACCTGCCTTTTCCATACTGTCTGGCCCCGCAAAGAGGAAGCCTGGACTTTAGTTCTGTAGCCTTGTGTCCACATGCAAGTCACTCCTTCCTGAGCCCCAGTTCTGCATCTGTAAAATGGAGATAAGAATGTGCGCCCAGAAAAAGGATGCTCTTCCTCTTCGTGAATAATGAGAATGCCTAAACTGACCAGTCTCACTTTTCACTTTGGACCTGGGAAGAGCCAAACGTGTGACTTCGCGGCAACAACCCTCTAGGACAGCAACGTCTGATAGAAATGCAACAGAATGTGAGCCAGAATGTGAGCCTCAGGTGTCACTGTAAGCTTTCTAGGAGTCACATTAAACAAGTAAAAAGAAACAGATGAAATGAATCCTAATAATGTTTTATTTAATTCAATATAGCTCAAAAATGTAATCAATAAAAATTATTGAGCAATTTTACTCCTTATCTTTCCATAAAAAAGCTTCCAAATCTGGTGTGCACTTTATACACTTTTTACATCTCAGTTCATATGAGCCCCGTTTCAATGCTTAGTGGCCACGTGTGGCGTGCAGCTCCCGGGTTAGACACCACAATTCTAGGACCCCATGATCTGCAGATTTGAGTCTATTTGTTCCTCTTGGTTTTGAATGTCTATTTGAATTTACAATTCACCTGGTTCTAATTTTTATTTACATTTTACAATATTTTTGCGTGTATGTCTTGAAGCTCCCCTCAAATCCTCGTGTGATAAGGAAGTGTAAAAAGTGTGAATTGTGGGGTGATTTTCTGGTCATATGCACCCCCCACCGTTGGTCCCCCAGCCCCTCATCAGATGGGAGTGTAGTTTCATTGGTTTGTTGTGCTGAGCAAGGGAGTCGGAGTGAGCCTGTCACCCACAATGGGGCCGTGAGAGCCCTGGGCCTGCATTTGCTCCTCCGGCCACTGCTCTGGGTCCAGAGCCACAAACTTTCTTCAAGCAGGTATGCTGAGCTGCTGCTGGGAGCTCAGGCAGGAAGGGCGCCAGACACCCTGTGTGGTTTGGCGATGGGCAGGGGGATCCTTCTAGTTTTGCATTTGTCTTGTAGGCTGATGGTTGTAGTGGTGAGAATGGAGGGCATTTTGGTTTTAGACAAACCAGTGTTCAAATTCTGGCTCTTTCACTTGCTAGTTGGGTGATGTTAGATAAGATACTCAACCTAGTTAAGACTCATTTTTCTCCTCTAGAAATTAAGTATAATGGGGCGCCTGGGTGGCTCAGTTGGTTAAGCAACTGCCTTCGGCTCAGGTCATGATCCTGGAGTCCCGGGATCGAGTCCCGCATGGGCTCCCTGCTCAGCAGGGAGTCTGCTTCTCCCTCTGACCCTCCCCTCTCTCATGCTCTCTCTCTCTCATTCTCTCTCTCAAATAAATAAATAAAATCTTTAAAAAAAAGAAATTAAGTATAATGGTAGCATTTTGCAGGGATTAAGGATCATCTGTAAAAGTGCACAGCATAGGGCAGGGTCTTTACATTCCCATTTACTATTACTTTTCCCAGAACCCAAGCTATCTTTCCTTTCCCTGATTTTCCAGAAGCTTCTAGAATGAGAACAGGAAAGGGAAGGCTTCTGCACATACCTGCGAGCCGGGAGTGGGTCCAGAGCTCACTGACAGAGTCATTGGGCCGGCTGTAGATTTTGTCCAGCAGAATTGGAGGGCCTTCATCGAAGAAGTAGGAGCACAAGGCAGAGATGGAGGAGGTGGGGCCGCCGATGTTGAACCTGAGGGAAGGGAAGTGGGAACCACTGGGGAGGAGTTCACAGGGAGGCCCTCTGTTCCCCTCTGGGAGCCTGGGACATTTGTCCTGAGGAGGACACTAATTCCAGGCAGCCTCAGGGCCTCATCCTAGTGCCCCATCTTCCTCCTGCAGAATTCCTTATTTGGCATTTCCCAGCATACAAGTCTCTTGAGAACAAGAGACTTTGTGGTCAAATTTGTGTAGAAAATATTGAATGCCATACCTGCCCCTTCTGATCACATATTAATACGTTATGTGATACATAGTGTATAAATTACATTAAAGGCTCTGACAAGTCCTGCAGTCATGAAATTGTTGATAAATTTTCCCCACTTACTGACCATGGACTGCTCTCCCGTACCCCTACTGCCTGATAGGTCACTGCCTTCCCCAGCTGCATTCTCCATAATCCCATAAAACCCACTGGACATTTTTGTTGGTGTGTCCTCATGGGGAACTTAGTGTAGCAGAGTGCTCAGAATTGTGGAACTACATTGGGCGGGGGGGTGGGGGAGACACGGGAGGAGTGGAGAGCCTGTGCCTGTCCTAGGACAGGCACAGGGTAAACTACTTGGGCCCCTGTCTCCTTATCTGTGAACAAGAAGTGTGGGCTGGCGATATGTGAGGAGTCTCTTCTGGTTGATGGTCTAGGATGGCCCAACGGGGTTTAGGGCTTGTGACCTTGGCGTCTGAACCTCCCCCAGCCTCTGGTTGGAAGGGTCTTTAAGCAAAGCACACCTATAGGCTGGGCCAATTCCTCTTACAAATGTGGCTACATGGTTAAGTAGAAAGGGACTTAGCATGAGCATCATCTACATGTTCAATAAGTGTTTGAAGGATAAAATCTTCAGGGGTATGACAGGAGCCCTCAAGCACAAGTTCTGGCAACACACACACACACACACACACACACAGAACCCTGGGAAATGTTTCCTCTTCCAGGGAGAACAAGCCTCTGAGATCCGGACCGCCCCCCCCTAGTGAGGACCAAGAACTATGGCTGAGCTGCGGGTCATGACTTGGCCAATTCTGGCAGCCTCTCTCCTGCAGCTGGGGTGTTGGGGTTCCGCCTCCGGGGGGGGGCAGCCTGCCCCTCTCGGTGCCCACGCAGGGTGCCCAGAGCAGTCAGGGAGTCCTGGGCCTGGTCGCTGCAGGAGGGGAAGTTGCTCTTCCACCCTTCTCCAGGAGGGAGGTCGCTAGCTGAAAGCATCCCACCAACAGTCTTTTTGTGAGGCAAAGAATTCTTTTTGCAACAATAGTGGCTAATTTGCAAATTCTCTCTGGAACTCTGGCTTGCTTTCTTTCTTTCTTTTTCTTTCTTTCTTTCTTTCTTTCTTTCTTTCTTTCTTTCTTTCTTTCTTTCTTTCTTTTTTGAAAATTTTATTTAAATTCAATTAGCCAGCCAACATATGGGCCTCTGGCTTTCTAATTCTCATGACCGGAATGGTCATGGGCTGATTTTGTATAACGTGAGATTGATTGATGGTCAGAATCACCTAGGATGATGCCTTTCAAGTACACAGATGACAAGGCCTCACCCCTGGAGCTCTGGATTCAGTAGGGTGCCCTGGAATCTGTTCTTAATGTCTCCCTTTTCCCCTCTCTCTCCACTGAATCCTATGACCAGGCAAGTTTGGGAGCCAAGGAATAGCCCAGTGATTCTCAGCCTGCAATAAACACTGGGATCATCTGATGAGCTTAAAAAGACCACCAGTGCTGGGGCTCCCTGCAGCCGATCAAGCCAGAAACCCCAGGGCCAGAGACCTCTGCCCGCCCCTCCCCTCCTCCCCGGACCACTGACCTCATGTCGATAATCATGGCATCCGTGTGCACGATCTTCTTCCAGACGTGCTCCACCAGCAGCTCTGACACCTGGGTGAGCAACTCACAGTCCCCAAACATGTCAAACCTCAGGTAGCCAAGGTTGTCCTCAAACACATTAGTATGAAAGGAGAACTTGATCAGGTCCTCAAAGACTTCAGGGGAAGGGATCTGAAAGATGGGGGAGGGGTCCAGCTCAGTGTCAGCAAAGGAGCAGATTAGCAGATTTTACAGCTCAGGAAAGTGGTCACCGTAGTTCTCCTTTATACATGAACAATACTGAGGGATGGGAGGGGACTAACTTTTCTGAAGGAGGTAGTAGGTGCCAGGACCTTTTCCAGTGGAGCATCTAAGAGGTTATGTGGGTGGTGGGCCTGGGATGTGGACCCAAGTTTGGCAAGATGTGGTTGGCAGACTCCTTACAGAGAACACTCATGTGTGCAAACCCACACCATGGGCCATGGGGTCCAGAGCTGCAAGGCCCAGGTGTGGTCTCTACTCTGATTCCTCCCCTCCCCTCCCCTCCCCGACATCACCAGACACTTCCTGATGTCTCTGAGTTCATCTTCCTTTCCTTCCCTGGGGCACGGAGGGAAGACATTAGCTAGCTACTGGGCCTCTAAGTCTTTAGTAGGGGTTTGGCCCTGTGCTGAGCACATTGCAGCCCTTACTGTCACCCTCAGGGCACCCTGTAGCATCCCGCTCCTTTCAGTGAGGAAACTGAAGCACAGAGTGATTCAGTAACTTGCTCACGGTCACACAGTCAGTAAGTGGTGGAGCCAGAAGCTGAATCCACATGTGACTCCAAATTCATGAACCCTGGCTACCCTAGAAAGGAGTGAGTCTTCAGTTTGGAATCTGGTGGCCCTGTGAGCCTAGCGCAGTGCTGGCACATATGAGGCTCCCCCAACATGCCTTGTGCCTCCTCTTCTCTCTTCAAGACTGCTAGAAGGACACGGGCTCTGTGGGCTGGAATGAGAACAAGCTGCGTGCAGGGAGTTAACTGGGACGCCCGGCCTCCAGGGCCTGCCCTGCCCTCAGTCACAAGCTCTTTGGCCATTGGCCACTCTCCTCTACACCCCTCTGGGCTTCCATTTATTTTTTTGTAAAACGGGGATGGCGATTCTGCAGTAGATGCTTCTCGTGCCCTTAGCCCTCCTCTGACTCTGGCTGCCACGGGCCTTGGCTGCCAGGGCCTGCCTCCAGCACACCCCATGTCTTTCCACCCGCTCCTTTAGGACCTTCTCCAAGCTGCCTCAGAGTCTGAGAGAGTTCATATCCACAGGGGGACCTTTAGCCAATGAAGGACAGGAGCTGCCAGGTCCCACCTGCAGATGGACAGCTCTGGGAGGCATTCCCCTCGCTTGTTAGGGTCCCATTGGAATCTTCAGAAGCAACAGCCTCAATAATGCACCCACCTGTCCCTACCTGTCCACTTCCCTCCTTCCCTCCTTCCTACTCTCTCTGCTCCTGCACTCCTGCTTCAGAGACCGCCTCCCCCATGAACTGCCTGCATCCAAGACCTGCTTTCCAGGGAACCGGAGACAAATGCTGCCCTGCTTACTCAAGACTATGCAGTGAAATAATGGATGATAAACCACGTGGAGAGATGTTGTAAATGCTGCATTTTGATGAGGCTCCTAGCTGATGGGAGTGCTTGGTGAACCCTTGGCTTATCAGGGCCACGGGTCTGGAGAACTTTCTCCTCAACCACCCAGCTGCAGAACTCCTCAACCGTGATTTACCTTTTCAGTGTTTCCCCAAACATCACTGCTGGCTTCAAATAAACTGACCACAGTCGCCTTGCTCAGAATTTCCCATCCAGCTGGCCCTCGGTTCAGAGCACACCCACTGAGTGAGCGCCTTCCGGACGCAGTAGAAGTACAATGACATGCATGGTGGGAGGGGAGGAGAAGGCAGGGGGGCCTCACCACTGCCGTGGTCCTCTGGGCTGTGCGCGGCACCCCTGACCACACCCCAGCCCGTGTCCAGGCTCCATGCTTTAGCTCTGAGGCAACTGTGAGGTCGAGACCTCTGCATGCTTCTCTCTTCCCACCCCCTCAACTCATTCACACAAACTGCAGCCCCCCCCCCAAGGAGGGCAGGTGGTGAGAATGAACACAAACCCCATGTTGCCGGAGGAGGAAACCGTCGTGACTTCTCGTGACCTGACCTTTTCTTCACCACTGACTATAAGAAGCGCTGCAAACATTTGCCTTCCGCCCCGCCAAGAGTGAAACTCCTTCTCTACCAGGGCTTTTCAAACTGAGGTCCTGTGGGTACCACTATTCTACAGAGGTGCTCAGGGACCTCAAGGACATGAGAAGGGGAAGGGATGACAGGAGGAGAGGAAGGAAAAGATGTGACTAGTGAGAACTTGAACACAGAGACAAGTCTGGAGGCCACTGTCTTGCCACCATGCACAGAGCCCTGGGTGTGCAGGCAAGTGGTCAGCTCATTCCTGGGGCTGCGCTAGGCTAAGTATCCCTTATATCTCACCTGCATGGGCACAATCCCGGGAATGCGGTCCTTGGCATCCTCAGGGATATGGGCTGTCTTCAGGTGTGGGTCTCCGGACAGCATCTGCAGATCAGCCCCCAGCATCTCAGCCAGGGCCCCTTCTGAGGTCACCCTGGAATAGCGGCTCTGCAGACCGCTCAGCTTGACAGCCATCTTGGCCCCCAGTTCTGGAGAGGCATAGTTATCTGCTACCAGTTTCCCAGTTGTCTGCAGCACGGTGGACACCTTGGCACGCAGGGCCACTATGTCCCGGGCTGTGGAGAGGGCCTCACTCATGGGCACGGCGATGTCCGGCTCCACCCCAGCCAGGTCCCAGGCCTCGCCTGTGCTGGCACTCAGGGCCATCTGCGTGGGCATGGAGGCATATAAGGGGCTGCTGCCCACCTGGTAGATGCCCACAGAGAGGGCCCCTCCAGCTGTGGGCTCCCCAATGACTGTGGCCCGCTGCAGGTCCTGCATGGTGTGGGCAAAAGCCTCGGCTGCCGACCCACTGATGTGGCTCATCAGGATGTAGAGGTCCTTGTGGGGGCCATAGCGCTGACCGGCCACCTGCGGCAGGGTCCAAACCTCCGTGACCCTCGAGGTGGCCCTGTCAAAGACAGAGTAGAGGTGCTGGTGGGGCTCTGCCTCAAAGAAGTAGGAGCAGAGCAGCGGCACAGCAGTGGAGTAGCTCCCAGGGTTGTACCTCAGGTCGACGACCAGAGCGGCTGTGTCCACCAGCCCCTGCCAGACCAGCTGCACCAACTGTGGCCCGATGGCCTTCACCGTCTCCAGTTCAGCCATGGCGTCGAAGCGCAGGTAACCCAGTCGGCCAGGCAGCACCTCTGTTTTAAAAAGGGCTTCAATGAGGTAGGAGACCTCCTCTGGGGAGGGGACAGCGGGGGGTGGTGGGGGCACCTCCTCAGCCACCATCTCACCAGGGCTGTGGAACACCAGCAGACGGTGGTCCCCAGACATCTCCTGCAGGTCGGCCGTGAGCTGGGAGGCCAGTGACTCCAGGTCCACAGCCGTGCGGTAGGCCCCCTGGGCCAGCTTGGCTCTCAGCAGGGCACTGGTCTGCCCGACGACCTCTGGCTGTGCGTAGTGTGCCTCCACCAGGTGCCCTGTACCCTCCACCAAGGCCTCCAGGCTGCGGTGGAACTCCAGCACCTCTTGGGCCCTGTCCAGGGCCTCCTCGGCCAGCACAATGGCATCGGGCACCACGCCACCCCCCAGCCAGCACTCGCCGTGGTTGTCAATGAAGGTGAGCACGGGCACCGTGAGCACCAGGTCCCCCTCGGGCATCTCCAGCAGGGGCACCGTGCGGGTGTGCAGCAGGCTGCCCGCGGTGATCTCGCCCACCAGCGTGGCCCAGCCCAGTGACTGCATGAGGAAGGCCAGCTCCTCGGCGGCAGTGGCGGTGCGGTGGCTGGTGAGCAGGTATACCCCGCGCTGGGTGGGGTAGCGTTGGCTCAGCAGCTCCATGCGGCTGAAGTGTTCCTGTGTGACATTGGTACGGCGGTCATAGGTGGTGAAGAGGCGCACGGAGCCAGTGTCCGGGCCCTGGAAGTAAGAGAGTAGCAGGGGCACAGCAGAGGATGGCCCCCCAGGGTTCTGGCGCAGGTCCATGATGAGGTGCTCCGTGTCCCGCAGGGGCTCCCACACCTGGCGCACGATGTATGGGCTCAGCACCTCCAGCACCGAGGCGTCGGCAAAGCTGTCAAAGCGGAGGTAGCCCACGTTGCCCGGCAGCACGGACACCTGGAACATAGAGTCCACCAGGGCCCGCCGGACAGCCTCATCCTCAGCCACTGTGGGGACCACCTCCGGAGGGTCATCGTCTCCAACCTCAGGCCCAGAAAGGGTTTCCTTGGGCCTGACGGCCCGCACCAGGAGCCTGGGGTCCTCAGACGCAGTCTGTAGACCAGCGTTGAGCTTTGTGACCAGGTCCTCCTCGGAGACCACCGCAGAGAAGTCCATGTTGGCCAGGTGGTGCAGCAGGGTGGGCACGCGGTCCACCAGCGTGTAGTAGGCCTGCAGTGCCTCTTGCAGGCGCTGCACGACTCCTGGCAGGGCCCGGCGCAGAGTGAGGATGGCCAGGGCTTTCTCGAGCGCCTGCTCTGCTGGTGTCCCCACACAGGGCAGCACTCCACTGCCCTCCCATGTCTGGCTGCCCCCTCCCAGGGGCCCTAGGGACCTGGACACGGGCACAGTGAGGAAGAAGTCGGACTGGCCTATCCGCAGCTTCTGGAGGTCCAGGGCACCCCCCACAGTCCGCTCACCCACCACGATGGCCCTGCGCATCTGTTTGAGGATGTAAGTGATGTCCTCAGCCACGCCCCCCGTGTGGCCGCTGGTGAGGACCACCACATCCTTGTCGGCACTGTACCTTTCTCCTAGGACCTGGGGCAGGGTCCAGATCTCAGTGGTTGTATTGGAGGGGCGGTTGTAGATGGTATCTACGTGCAGGACCGTGTTCCCTGGGTGTAGGTAGGAGATGACGTAGGGGATGCCGGAAATGTGGCCCCCAGTGCAGTGCCGGAGGTCCAGCACCAAGGCAGAGGTGCCCATGAGCTTCCTCCAGACGCTGGCCACCAGGAAGCCCCCCAGCTTGCTCACCACCTCCTGGCCTGGGATGTCGTCCATACGCAGGTAGCCCACATTGCCCTCCAGAACCTCATGGCGGATGCCCTTCTGCAACCGGGCAAGCTGTTCCTCTTGGGTGAGGTTGGTGAGTGCTGGGGCTTGCCGGGGAGCCTCAAGAGTGCTGGGCTCATATGAGATGACCAGGCGAGGGTCGTTCAAGGAGCTCTGCACCCCGGTGGTCAGCACATGGGCCAGAGTCTGAGGGTCTGAGATGGCGAGGATCTCACGACTCTTGATGGCCTGCTCGATGGCTTCCTGCATCCCCATCAGGTTCTCTGGGAAGCAGTAGTTATCCAGAAGGACCTTGGCCATGTCTAGCACCAGGCTTGGCTGGAACAAGTGCGTGGGGCCAACCAGGCCACAGAGCAACGTGGACAAGATCAGGGCCCATTCTCTCGTCATGAGGATCCAGCAGGAGAGCTGGCTCCTGCACAAAAGCTCCCTTGACTGTGTGTCAGGCACTGCCCTGTGTGGTGGCTGCCTTCCTCGCTCGTCCTTCTCAGCGGGCGGACAGAAGGTCTGGGGCTAAACTCGGGAGTTGGGGTGTGGCTTCTAGCTCCAGTAAGCCTTTAATCCTGTCTAATTCAAGCGCATCAGCCCTGGGGACTGGGGAGCAGGGGCCGAAGTGGTTTGACCCAGAAGGTATGTTGGATCTCGTCTTGCTGTGCCACCTCTGTGTGTAGTCATCTGAATAACTACTGTTTATCTTGAGTTCCTGCCACACGCCAGGCACTGCGCCGCATGCTTCACAAGGTGACAGTTTTCACCAGAACCTAGCAAAATAAGAGCTGTTAACCTGCGGTCAGTGGCATTTCCCCACCACACCAAGTGACCCACAGTCTCTGGAATTAGGCAGAGCTCATTGGAGGCCTGGCTCTGTGACTCTCTACTCTGTGGCCTTAGGGAAGTATCTTACTTACTGTGTCGATTAAGTAAGAAACTATGCGTAAAGCATCTCATGGTTTCAGGCAAGGAGGGATCATTCCATTACTGATAAGTTCTCCATGGTAGAAATGATCTCTGCTGTACAGCTGAAGAAATAGAGCTTAGTATCTCACTGCAGCCCATCATTGAGAGGCAAGGGGTCACTGAAAAGAAGTCTTGGGGGGTGGGGCTGCAGTCAGCTCCGACAGTGCAGAGGCTGAGGCTGAGGCCGCTATCCACTTCAGGGCTGGAAGTTTGATCCATTTGCTAATGGATCCAGGGAATTGGAGAGGGCCCCCCCAACACCTTTCAAACAGTAAGAATACAATGTCTGGACCTCAATGCGGTATGTGGTGAGTGGGCGCGGTGTCCGCCTTCCAGACACCACGGGATCCGTGATTTCAGGTCAGATGAGGTTGTCTCTGCGACTTAACAAGTGTCCATGCTCCTGGCTAAAGAAGGCCCCTGCTGGTTGAGGGCTCGGGCTGTGGCCCGATGTTTGCAGGGAGAACCCAGTTGTAGAACTTGAGTCTCTGGGGTCCCAGACCTCTCAGGCATCCAGATCATTCCCCCACCTGCACAGAGAACACTGGCCTGTCTCAGGTGAACACTCCTTCATGCTTGCAGCTGACTTGCCACAGATCTCCAAGGAGCCTAGAGTCTAGAAGCCCTGCTTTGTCTCCGTATCTCTCTGGGGGTGGGCACTTCCCATATTTAACAGACAACCATGGCTCAGAGTGCGCACAGCCGGGGAGAGCACTGGGAGAGCGGCCTGCCTCCCCTCTCCTCACTTGGCCCCGTTCGCGCCACACACACCCCTTGGGTCATGCAAGCAGTAGGCAGGTGCACACGTGTGCCTCAGCAGGCAGCTGCAGGAGCTGTTCCCGGGGACAGGGGGCCTTTCTCGGCACCCTCGAGAACCACAATCCGCTCTCTGGAAATCATTATCTGAGGATGTTTACCAAGGGGTTTATGAAGGCCAAAGAGGTCAATTAGCTAAAACAAACATATTTTTAGCTCATTAGGATTTGTTTAATGCCCAAGTGACATATGGTCACATCACTCCACTGTTTGCAGCCAATGAGGTGAGCCCGATTTATTATAACAATAAGGCCTCCTTAGTCCCCACTGGGAAGACTGGGCCTTCCACCCTGCCTCTACTTGGGGAATCACATGTCAGAGTATGTCCTCCTGGGCCTCCAAGGGCACTTCTCCATCCTTGCTTGAGCTCAGGCAAAGCCTCTAGACCCGGAAGGGCAGAGGATAATGACGACCAGGGAAAAGTCCTTCTCTGGGGAAAGCGCTTCTCCTGGACTCTTTTTTTTCTTAGATTTATTTATTTATTTATTTGAGAGAGAGAGAGAGAGAGAGACAGTGAGAGAGGGAACACAAGCAGGGGGGTGGGAGAGAGAGAAGCAGGCTCCCCACCGAGCAGGGAGCCCAATGTGGGGCTCGATGCCAGGACCCTGGGATCATGACCTGAACCGAAGGCAGACGCTTAACGACTGAGCCACCCAGGCGCCCCATCTCCTGGACTCTTCTTAAAATGCAGTTATAGGATGGGATGCCTGGAGCCATTGTTGGGTCCCGATTTGTGGGGGTGGATGGCCCAGAGCCTCACAGAAGATGTGGAAAACAGAATGTGGGTCCATTGGAAGGCACCAGGCAGGCGGAGTTAGTGTCTACAAGGAGACATAATGTGTCCTCCTGTGGGTGTGGCCAGAGGCCAGTGGGAGAAAATTCTGTCCCCAGAGATTGTCTTTCCCTCAATGTTCTTTACGGACATTTTCAAGCAGTACAGCTAATATTCATGTCCTTAGGTTTTAACATTGACATTTTCTTGCCCTTTCTTTATCTCACCTCTGTCTCTCTGACTCTTTCTTTAAACCTTAAACCAGCATATTTTTTGGATGCATTTCAAAGCAAGTTGAATCCTGTCTTTATTTTATTTTAATCCTTTTTCTTTTTACTTTTTTAAAAATAGGAGTAAAACATACTCGTTTTTTCAAGTTAAATAATTCATAAATGTGTGAACAATCTTTTTCCAAAGCCATTCCAATCCAGCCAATAATAATGTGTATTATACATACATAAATAATGTTTAATGTTCACTTTTCTCTGGGTTCATACACGAACGCACATATGTAGGACATGTATTGTCTATTCATCTATGGATGCCCATTCATCCTTCCATCCATCTATTATCATCATTTATGTACACATAGGGTCCATACTGTGTATACATGGTAATTTGCCTTTTATTTTACTTACTTAAACAAATAGCAGAAACAATCCTCACTGTTGAAGCATATACATAAAGTTCATCCTTGTAATGGCTGCATTGTAGTCCTTGATAATTTAATGATCTGTTCTCCTAGTGAGAGATATTCTAAGTTGTTTTTGTTTTTGTTTCTATAAACAATATCATTAATAAATGTTCTCGAACAGATGATCTAAAGGACTAGTGCTTCTTGTTTCTGTAAATTCCTAAAACTGGACTCAGTTTTATCATATTTTCAGTAACTTTTAAATTATCTAATAAATGTGTATTTTTTCTGTTTTTTTTTTTTAAACAACTTAATTGATGTATAACTGACATACATTGAATTGACCATATTTGAAGTGTACAATCTGGTTGGTTTTGACACGTGTATTCACCTATGGAAATATCACCCAGATCAAGATAATGTATATCGCCCTCACCCTCAAATTTTTCTCATGCCTCATTGTTATCCAACCCCCGCTTCCATCTCCATCTCCAAGCAAACGCTGATCCGCCTTCTGTCACCACTGTGGATTTGTTCTCATTTTCCAGAATTTTAAATGGAATTATACCATGTGTACTGGCTTTTTTCTTCCTGTCTTCCTTTATTCAGCACAATGATTTTGAGACATACCTATGTTGTTGAGTGCACTGTTTATTTATTTCATAGCTGAGTAGTACTCCACGGCGTAGGTCTACCACAATCTATTGTCCACTCACGGGTTGATGGACCTGCAGCTTGCTTTCATATATAACGGTTAAAAATGCAGCTGCAGTGAATGTTTAAGTATAGGTCTCTGCATGGATATATGGTTTTATTTTCACTAGGACAGGAATGCATGTTTAGCATTTTAAGAAATAACCTGTTTTCCAAAATTTAAATTTATACCAGCAACATATGAGACTTCACTTCCTCCACACCAATGCCAACAATTGGTGTGTATGGTCAGACTTTAATCTTAGCCATTCTAATGGATATAGAGTGGCTTCTCATGATTTTAGTTGACATTTCTTTGATGGCTAATGGTGTTGAGCATCTTTTAATATATTTGTTGGCTATTTGTATGTATTCCAAGATGAACTATCTGTTTAGACCTTTTGGGCATTCGTTGGGGCTGAGGGGGATGTTTAGGAGTGGAATTGCTGGGTCATGCGGTAATTCTCTGTTTAACTTTTTGAGGAATCGCCAAACTCTTTTCCCCTTGCAGTTGCACCATTTTGCATTCCTGCCAGCACGTATGATGGTTTGGATTTCTCCACATCCTCATCAACACTCGTTATCGTCTGGTTTTTTGATACTAGCCATCCTAATGAGTGTGAAGTAGCTTTGATTTGCATTTCCCTAGTGACTAGCAATGCCAACTATTTTTTTTATGTGCTTATTGGCCATTTGCAATCCTCCCTAGTGAACTATCTATTCAGGTTCTTTGCACCATTTTTAAATTAGGTCATTGGCCTCTTTATGATTGAGTTATAAGCATTTTTTGTATGTTCTAGGAAAAAGTCCCTTATCAGATACATGATTTGCAAATATTCCCTCCTATTCTGTGGGTTATCTTTTTTAACTCTTGGTTTCAGCTCAGGTCATGATCTCAGGGTCTTGAGATTGAGCCCCATGTAAGGCTCTGCACTGGGCATGGAACCTGCTTAAGAGGCTATCTCTCCTTCTCCCTAGGCCCCTTCCTGCCTCCCTGCTCACATGTGCTCTCTCTCTCTTTTTTTAAATTTTGTTGGTGACCAGTTTACCTAATTTTTCTTTTGTTGCTCTTGATTTTGATGTCATACCTAAGAATCCTTTGCCAAACCCAAGGTCATGAAGACTTATCTTTATGTTTTCCTTAAGAGTTTTATAGTTTAACTCCTTTATTTAGGTCTTTGATCCATTCTGAGTTAATCTTTATATGTGATGTGAGGTAAGGGTACATTCATTCTTTTGCTTATGAAAATCCAGGAGTCCCAGCGTTTTCTCATTTGATCTTCAGTAGCAGACCCAAGGAACAAGATACAGAGTTGACAGATGATAGATAGACAGACAGATAGATAGACAGACAGATAGATATAGCTAATAAAGATGATTTATTTTTAGGAAATTGGCTGCCTCATGCAATTGTGTGGGATCACAAGTCTGGAATTTGTAGTGCCAGCCCCAGCAGGCTGGAAACTCAAGCATGATTTCTATGTTGCAGTCTTGAGGCAGAATTTCTTTTTCCTCAGGAAACCTCAGTCTTTCCTCTTAAGGCCTTCAACTCATTGGATGAGGCCTATTCACATTATAGAGGATAATCTGCTTTACCTTAAGTCAACTGATAGT